TGTTTTGCAGGTGGACCAGTCAGTGTTTGTCCCTGCCTGACCGATTAGCTCACATATAAGTACTCTAACACTGTTCAGTTGCCTTTACTCCTCTCATTTCCGCTTTGGGATAATGATAGGAGGAAAAATGGAAAATATCTTTATCCCTAAATTATTCTCCCTGCGAGAGCCCGAAAAAATCCAACCCCGTATTGCTTTGTTGGGAGAATCTTAAGCCTCAGTTTCTTTCTCTCTTGATAATGCGGTTGATTGCTCATCTACGTTGCAAGGTTTCAGTGCACAAATCGATTCTTCCCACAAACGATGACCGGCGCCTACATCAGCGGACTTCGTGAAGCAGGACGCATCTGGGAGTCCTCCCACAATGAAATATGGATTGACTAGTCTAGCCCTCAGTCCTCCAGAGGTTGTGTGGATCATTTTGTGCCATTAAAAAAATCAGAATTTCATGCATCTAGAGACAATTCTTACACTTGGAATAACCTCTTTTTCATTTGTTGCGAGAGAATGTTGAGTTATAGGAAAAAAATGGACCCCAGGCGGGACTTTTCTGCTAAATGTGTTCCCGTGGGTCATAGCTTTGCGTTGCTTCGCATTCATTTATAGGGTTCAAAAAAGCCAAACAGCACGATGAACCAAAGTGAAAAATTCTTTTCTGAAACAGAACTGAGCTGGTTTCGAGAAGAAAATGGAAAGTCCAGCACTCTCCTTGGCTCTTTGGTTCAACCGTTTTATTCGATTTGGTTAGTATTCGTCACTATCGGGATCGTTTTTTTTTGTAAAACAGCTGCCGGTTGTCTTATGATTCGAAGCTAGGGCCAATTGTAGCAGCTAAGGCCTTACTTGTTTACTGCCGTGTCCGAATTGTGCTTGGTTTCAAAATTGTTCTGTTGCATTTAGCCTCATCCATTCACATTCCAGTCCTTGGACAGCAAGCGTCACAGGGCCGTGAGCGCACAGCATTGCAGCGATTTGGCCTGAAATAGCGGTCAAGCGGCTTGGTTGCGCCCTATACTTGACATCTTCGCAATCCGTCGGGGCGGTGTCAGGAGGGCTGATATGAGCCCGCTCTCGACTGTCTTGCTCCACCAATAGTCATCGGTTAGTGATCAATTTAGGGAAAAACAACCAATGATAAGAACGACGCGTAGGATCGTTCCATGCCTCTTGACCGACCAGACTGATTCCGACGATATTACCTGCATTTCCAGGTGACCAGGGCCTCCATATTTGATAGGTTATGCACTGCGCGGCTGGATCCGTGACTCTTGCTGTCCAGATTGCTGCCAAAGCTGTTTTTTCCTTTCAGTCAAGTTCAAAGTGATTCATTAATTATTGTTGAATTATTAGTATTGTTCTCAGAACATTTGCATGATCTCACATCTGCGTACGTGTTTTTGCTTACTCATCATCGGTAATAAACAATTTCTGCAGCTTACAGAAGTGTCTCTCTGCGACGACCGGGTTCAGAGTTCGCGATCGCGCGATTGAAGCGCTCAACCGGATCGTGCGACCACGATCGGGGATGCTTCACCGCCAAACGCTGCACTGCAGCAACGGCACAATCCAACTGGTAGTGTGCGAACGCGGCCCAATTTGAATTCAGCCATTGCACCGCTCGGCAGTGGACCGCCCAGGAACGTAATCGCACGATTCAGTCGAGCGAGACGATCACGCGATCGCCAAGTCCGAACGCGGCCTGTATTTCTAGATTCTGCGAGAACCCTGTACACTCGGCTCCAACGATCATCGTTCTTGCCATGCCGCGAGTAGCGGGTGGCCGGCCGCTGTAGAAAGCAATACTGTGTTTCGGCATCTCGAAAGTACACAGTTAATGAACCCCGGACCGGAAGTTTCTCCGCTAAACCGGGTTGTATGCCCGGCTTTGGTTGCGGTTTACGACGCCAACAGTTTTAACTTCGCGGCGCAAATTTCCGGGGGATACTGTTGCGTTTACGCCTGACATTTCCTGACTTACTAGGCCTGCCGTTTATACTTTGCGGCAGCGTAGCGTAGCGCTTCCAGCGTACGCGATCCCTCGGCGAATTCAGCCCCACCAGTTTTGTCTGATTGGGCCGAGATGTTTTGACGAAGTAGTCTTGAAGAGGAGAAAAAGCTCCAAATGGGTAAAATAATCAGTGTAATAAATCCAGATTACAGTAATCGTAATCCTGCACAGTGGGTTCTTTGAATGTTCCTATCATGTGGATTCACCGTGGGCAGGAGGAGTCATTCCAAAACATAGATTGTTCATTTCTAATCAGCGGCCTGGGATCAGGCAACTGGGTGATAGATATGCAGCTACATAGACAGATGCCATAAAATCGGTCGCAACACCGCACGATGGGTCGCACCGTCATGCGATTTTCGCGTTCGAGCTGGATCAGAAGAAAGACGTGGGACGACCTTAGCCACAGTTATTGCGCACTTAGAACGCCCTTTCTCGAGCGCCGAATCGCTTCTCTCCTATTTTGGCTCCGATCCTTCTTGTATGGGCAGGGAATATCTTTTCTTAGCTTTCAATAAAATCGCTTAGCGTACCGTGCCGCAATAGTTTGATGAAAATCGCGTCGTCGTGCTGCTATCTATGGATAGGTGTCAGATTCAGCCACCTTAAAGCGCAAAGCCCGCGACGACAGATGTGGTAACGGGAACCCGCATAGGAACGAAGAACGCGCTTGGTATCTGATTAGCGGAGAAAAGCAGCGGAAAAGCAGCCGAGAATGCCCTAAATAGGATTCCATATCGACCCCAACTTGTACATGCATGCAATGAAGAAAACGCATGTTTGTACGAATTTCCACTCGTCGTTATCATAAAGATATCAGCTCTTTTATCTTATCACCTCACTCTGAAGAGAGATAGTATAGTGGCTACTAGCTAGTAGCTAGCAGCCGGTTGGGGTCGGCATGGGCCTAAGGGGCGCCGCCAAGTGGAATTGGTTAGCTTAAGGCGGAATTCTTGCCGAATTTCACTTTCTAAAGGTAGCGCAGCCTCCGCAATCTCCTTCCGGATCGTCTGACACATTTGAAAGGTCATAGCCTTATTTTATCGCGGAAAGTGCCTTTAAGGAATCAACACATTTTGGGAAAATCCAGTGTGTTTTTTTTTTTGTTTTTTTTTTTGTTTTTCCCACTTGAAAAGAATGTGGGGGAAGAGGTTCTATGATATATATGAGGTATGGGATTCTGCTGCAGGTGAAGGAGGCAACGCGGTCACGTAGCGATGGGTTTTCTCCGTCTCCCTGCTTGCCTTACGTTCATGTGACGGTAGGACTACGCGACGTCGCGCGCGACAACTATGGTGCTCATCATTGCAGACCGGTGGGGCGGTGCGTGTGACTCGGCTGTGACGCGACTGTCATCGCTGCCGCGTCACAGCCGAGTCACACGCACCGCCCCACCGGTCTGCAATGATGAGGACTGTAGAAATGCCGTATGATTAAAGACAGCTCCCTCGATAAAAGTGTCAAGGATAATATGGCCTGTCTTCAAGTATAAAACAAGGAGTTGATTGAGCAGTAATTCTTCAATTAGGGGAAAAAGCAACAAGAGCCATCAAGAACACGTTTAACAAAATTGTTCCCTTCCAGTTACAACCGCCCCGGCGGTCTGGGCAACCCCTAGCTCACCAATCGGCTTTAGGCGCCCTGCCCAGGTAGTGGACAACATTCCACATGTACAATAGAAAAGAATACGAATAAACATCAAGGACACGAACGAAAAACACACAAAAAAAGAAAAAAATCAAAAATTTGCCGTCTGATTGGGCTTACGTGCAGTGTGCAGCTTTTAGTGCATGTCGAGCTTTTGCACCACAAAAATTGCATCACTCGTGATTTTTACGCGTTCTACCTTGCGAGATGGGTTGCAGTTGGCTGTATGTGCTCCAATGATTAAAATGTAATGAAAGAGAGCAGAATTACTTATAGGCAGCAGCGCGGTCAGCAAAAAGTATACGCAGTTCATTAATGGCCCGCACGTCAACAAAAAACAACCTGAGCGGCTCTCCATCACAAGGGGCATCTAGGGGGCCGAGTTAAACTGGGCAGAGCGTTAGACACCTAGGACTCCCAGGGAGCGGCTGTACCTCGCTCCTCGGTCACTGTGGAGTCGCGAGAGTGGGGCAGTATCTAGCTTAGGGGCTGAACTTCCTGCACAAGGAAGGAGGACCATGTACACTCGAGCACGGGGGCTGTCTTTAAAGACAGCTCCTACGATAAAAGTGTCATGTATAGTTGCCGTTTAGTTATGAAACAGTAGGTGTTAAGCTAATTTCCTCAAAGAAAGGAAAGAACAAGAAGAGTTCCTCAACAAGACCAGTAAATGGAAACTAGCTCCATTCGACCAGTCACACTTCTGCTTGTGCGCTCTCTGTGCAGCCTAGCGTTCCACCAGTTGACCACGCGTTCATTCTTTTCTAGGCCTTCAGTATCTCTGCGGCCCAAAATGGTTCTTTGTTGCCGGGTCCACGCCTTGCGGCCAGGTGTAAAAGCACAATCCTTCAACAGTCGCATTTGGGAATACCCTTTTAGCGCCGCCACCTATGGATGGCAGCTTTTTCGAAATCAAGCACTATGCGCCCTAGGTGTTTCACCTAGCAGACTCCTCTTCAGGTGCTCGAATACTCTCTTGTACCCGCGACGAGTTTTCTTCTCCATTATGCAGAACATCAGTGGTACGTCAAGGTCTTGGTTGCAGGCACCGTGCACGCAGTACAGCTGCGCATAGCGCCCCAAGGTCCTTCGGCTGCAAGCTGTGAGATCCGTCGGCCACAGTGCCATAAAGCCCATTCTCGCGCGCCATCTGAAAAAGTGTTATAAGCTTTAATTGGAATGCTATGTTTACTGTAGGTACCTGGATGGTTCCGGTGGAGTAATAAATGTGGAACCCCGGTTCGTCCAGTTGCAGAAACGGAGAGCCATCATGGAGCTTGCGGAACTCCTCCGGCACATTTTCCATTGTAACTGAGCGAACTCACCCATTTTCTCAAGCTCTTAACTATTGCTGGCTTTCGAGAATTGTAGCCCGATCTACGAATGTTTGCTCTGATGGAGTTCCCCATTCCCGCTGTAATAGTAATGTGAAACTAGGAAGCAACACTGCGAAATATCACAGATAGACTACCGTTGTCCGCTTCTCGACGTTGGGCCACGAGATCGAAAAATACCTGCACTGGCTTTATTGCAGTGTATTTGGAGTCCTCCCTAACATGTTGCAGCTCCTGGAAAAGCCATCTTCAAGTCTCTTCTTAACTGCATTTGAAGATGGCTATACTTCACCTCGTAGACGGCTCTGTCTCCTCTTTCTCTAACATACTTTTCTGGTCGGCAATCATGGTCCAGTCTGCATGGATCCGTCAGAAACTCGTCACCGATTACCTGACAAGTAATTGCCGGATACATTTACGAAATCCAGCGATTTGCCCTCACTTTTATTGTATCTCTCAGGACATCTTCACCATGTCTTCTGCTTTCCTTCCTGCACTGTACGCAACGGTAGACCTCCACGTTTTTATACGCACACTTCCTCGCAAAAGTTAATTGTACGGATGGTGCCTGGAATCCTATAGAATAGGACACTGTGCTTCCCTTGTTTGCTTACCTGTCGCTCTCCTTTGAACCGTTGGTGTGACGGTTCTTCTCTCTGGAAACTTCCTTCTGCCGGAGAAGGGGACATGCCACGGGTGGGGACTACGTAACCTGAAATTTGTGGTGTGGGGGGATAGTGTGCGCTACAATCCACGTAATACGAGGGTGCTGGTGTAGCGGCGGAATATGTTGCTTCCTGACCGACGTAGTAGGATGTTCCCACTGCTGGAGTAACGCAGTATGTTGGTTCCTGACCGACGAAGTGAGAAGGTGCTAGTGCGGGAGGAAATGTGCATGGTGATACAAGCCCTACGTCATACGAAGGTGCTGGTACCGGATAAAAATTGTGGGCGTGTGGGAGACGACGTCTGAGGAAACCCTGAAAACGGAACGGCTGCATCCACATAAGAGCAGGAATCGGCAGAATATAATAATGAAGGATTAGTACTTGAATACATGACAACACAAGGAACTTGCTCAACAACAACTCACGTGTTTGCTTTCTACCTGTTAGCTTAAGTATCTAGTCATGACCTCTCGTTGAGGTGTTGTTTGACCACAGGGCTTTCCAAGTGATAAAGAAGTCATTATCGGGATATACAGGGGGGGCCAAAAAAAAGTCACTTTGCCTCATTGACTTTCGAGGCGCTATAAATTACACTTTATCAAATTCTGATCGGACATTTTTACTACCATATTGAAGAGCACATTAAGTACTATCACGACACTCCGCCACAGCCTTCTGGACGAACGCCATCGAGAGATTCTGGCACGCGACCGCGATGTGGTACCTGAGATCAGCGGGGTAGTCGATTTCTCCGCCACCGTAGACCACCCTCTTGAAGTCCGCCCGAACTAGGTAATTGAGTGGGTTCAGGTCAGGGGACATACTTCAATATTACATCTTCTTCAGGTACGAAACGCCCTTCCATTCGAAGTAGGCGGGAGTTTTTCCAAAACCCTTTGATTCCATGTGGTGGCACCCAAACCTGTAGCAGCAAAAGTTTCCAAGAAGGTACGGGCGACCACATGTAGGGAGGATATTCTTCTCGAGTTACTTGATGTAACCGCCAGCGCTCACCTTCAGTCGGGTCTACAAAGAAAATATCGGTCTTCCCCTTTCCAGGTACCCCGGTCCATACCATCAACTCGCGCCTCGGCGAATACGGTGAAGATGATGTCCTAGACCGTAGCGACGTTGCCGTAGCTGCTCGATGTGGGAGGTCTTGCAGATCAAGAGTACTGACCTCCAGGTAGCTATCTGTGGATGACTTCATTCAAGAAGTTTCGCAGCTGTTTGGAGGCGACGTGAATTCCAAAGGTGTTCTCCAGTCAGGCCGCGACTGGAATGACTTTTTATTTTGGCGTACATGAAGGCGATTGGCGGCAGACTGCTCCAGCTTATCTCCAGCTTATAGAGGAAGATCTTGGGTATCTTCCACTCTGGTACTCATATCCACTTCCTTGCAGGGCACATCGTTGGTTGGGGAATCCCCAACAGGGGGGTCGTATTTGGCCGCCAGGAGAGGGGGGGGGTCGTAGTGAGTGCGGCAGCCAGTAACGAGCAGCGCAAATTGTCAATGTGCTGAGTCCTGTACAACGAAACTTGCTTTGTAGAGAACTCGGATATGCAAAAAAATAGTACAAAACTTTCATTCATCAAACTAATCCGAAATAACTGCAAATATTAATAAGTCGACATTATCTCGTAAGTCCGTTGGTGACTAAACAGTACAACTCAAACTCTGGTTCGCTGCCAATGATATGCTCCGTGTCGCTGCGGGGTCGCCGCTTGGCGCTGAGCCAAATGCTTTTCCTCGACAAAGCGACACGACTAACCATATTCGATTCATTATCAGGACGTTTTCCAGCATTTGCGTCTCCCTTTGTCGAAGTCACGTATTGGCGGAGCAACGAAATCTTGGCCAGCGTTGCACACAGCGACATAGTTCCATCATATTGCAACGGAAAACCACTGTAAACACGTGCCACAGACTCGCCATAGACCTCCCTGGAACCTATAGGAGACACATATTGCTCGTGAACCAGACACTTACGCACAAGTCTGCCACCATCCCATCACCTCTGCGCGGCCCTCAGTGCGCGGCGCATCCAAAGTTGGCGTGATCGGCGCTAAACGAACCATATCCTGCTCCTGCTCCACCACAGGATACGTTCTACATGCGTTCCTGGCTATTCGAACACGCTCACTTGAAACGGTACACAGGAAACGGGTTTTTCGCGCAGCTGGGAGTGTTCCTCAAGAAATCCCCATAGCGAGATCTCATGAATCCCGAGAGCTTCAGAAACAGTTCAAGAGGTTTCAGAAAGAGAAAATCTTCAAACACTCGAAACCATTCTCAGATTTGTGAAATGTTGAGTTACAAAAAAAATATATTGATTCAAACCTGTTCGGTTGAAACCACTCCCCAACGAATCCCTATGGCAGATTTCTCTGTGATTTTTGCGACGTTCATAAACGTTTTAGTACTTTTAGGAAGTGCAAACCTTCCTCTACACGAGTACGGTCTCCTCTTCCCCACAGGTCCGCTTTTGAGGAAGTTATGGTCCTTCAAAGACACCTAACTCAGCTGGAAATTCTCGCTCCATGGCTAAAATTGCCGAATAATCTCCTGTCACAGCCGCAATTACATGCGCTTCTGCTACCGTACTCCAATAATCGGGGTAATGCATTTTTACGGCGGTTTGTATAACTGTTACGTAGTGAGACAAGCCTAACTTTCTCTTTTCCTCGTCCTCAATCTTGGGAATAGACGTTGTTAACACTGTGGTCGCTGATGGCCGCTCCCAGAGAGGGAGTCCACGTCAGGTTAACGAATGCTCATTGAATTTAATCGCGATATATTGTTATTATTACCATGTGTGTTTCAAAACGGCCATCGAAGAAGTTCATCATACGAGTTTCTCATAATACGATTGTACCGTTTTTGTTTGCAATCATCTCTGTATTGTTCTATTATGTCATGACTTCAAGTCGTCCATTTAGTATGGGCACCTTCATACAAGTAGAATTTCATAGTGGGCGTTTCATAGTTTCATTTAAGGCGAAAAAAACCGAACGGCAAAAAAAAGGGGGGGGGGTCGTACCGAACCCCCAAAAAAAAGGGGGGGGGGTCGTACAGGCTCGACCAAAATCCC